AAAAAAAAAAAAAAAGCCAAGACATACAAAATTTGGCAAAAGTAAGGAGAAAAGGAAACCCTTGTACAATGTCAGAGAGAATGTACACTGATCCAGCCATTATGAAAAGCAGTATAGAAGCTCCTCAAATATTAGAAGTACCACACAATCCTTCCATCTCACTTCAGGGGATGTATCCAACAGAAATGAAATCAGTAATACAAAGAGATATGTACTTTCCTTTAGTTATAGAAGATCACTCACAAAATATAGTATCGTTCAGTCATAAGAAAAAAGGTCACCCTGCCATTTCCAACAACCAGGATGGATGAACCAGGTTGAAATTCTGGTAATTCAAATAAAGTAGAGAAATAAAATTATTATAAATCAGCTATTTGTAGAATCTAAAACAGCAGAGATCATACGTACAAGTAGAAAGTAGAATGCCAACAGTGTGGGGGGTTAAAATAGGGAGATATTTGTCAAAGAATACAAACTTTCATTTACAAAATCAATGATCGAATTCCATCTAAGTTGCTGCAAAAGAGAACAAAAATGAATGAATCTGGGGGATATAATGTATGGCACTGTGAATATAGGGAAAGAGCCATATTGTATATCTGGGATTAATACGGGAAAGAGCCATATTGTATATCTGGGATTAATACTCTATCATGAAAAAGAGAGAGAGGAAAGAAAGGAAAAAAAGGGAGAGAGGGAAAGAGGTAAAGAAAGAAAAGAGGCAAGACCTTAAGTGTTTCAACTCTCAAAACTTGGCAACTATGTGAGAGGAGGGATGTGCTAAGTTCATTGGGTTAATTGTCATGTGCTGTAGGCAAAATTCAAATCATCAACATGTATACCTCAAAAATATAAAATTTATATTTGTAAAAAAATTCATGTCAGAAAGAACAAACAGGAACGGCTCCTATGGCTCAGTGGGTAGGGCACAGGCCCCACATACTGAGGGTGGCAGGTTCGAACCTGGTCCCATCCAAACTGCAACAAAAAAATAGCTGGGCGTTATGGCTGGTGCCTGTACTCCCAGCTACTTGGGAGGCTGAGGCAAGAGAATCACCTAAGCCCAGGAGCTGGAGGTTGCTATGAGCTGTGATGCCATGGCACTCTAGCAAGGGCGACAAAGTGAAAACTCTGTCTCTTAAAAGAAAAAAAAAAAAGAACTCAATATAGAAAATAGTACATTTGACTATTTTACACATGTGAAAGCTGTACATACATAATATTTTTAATCTTATCTCAGGCTAGAAGAAAAAAAACTTAATATAGAGACCTTAAAAATAAAAATTTTTAAATTAAATATTTGATATTTAATATGTAACTTAATATTTAAAGTACAATGCTTTGTACTCTGAAAAAATTACAGAATCTCAAATTTCATAGAATTGGAAATTAAAAACTACTTGACATCTGTCTACAGTACTTCTGGGGCTTCTGAACCAAATATCACTATGTCTACTGCTATGCTCACACATTTACGACATGAGGCAACAACAGAAAGTTAAAAATGGCTTAACATAATAAGGAAGTCAGGTTTTACCAGAACCCCCAAAAGAATGGATGAGTAGATCACACAGGCTGTCAGAGGCCAACAGAAGGACTTTGTTTCTAACTGTGAATTTGATGGAAGATTACTCAAAGGCAAAGGGAATCCTCAGATAATACTTTCTGGCAGTTCTAGAGAGAATAGATCCTTAGATTACTTAAAAGCATAAGAAAGAAAATGTCCTTCAAAGAGAGCAAGATAAATAAACCTAAACTTCTAAAAATTTAGTTTTAAAGGCTGGGTGTGGTGGCTCACGCTTATAATCCTAGCACTCTGGGAGACCAAGGCAGATGGATTGCCTGAGCTCAGGTGTTCAAGACCAGCTTGAGCAAAGTGAGACCTCTGCTCCAAAAAATAGCCAGGCATTGTATAGTCCCAGATACTCAGAAGGCTAAGGCAAGAGAATCACTTAGAGCCCAAGAGTTTGAGGCTGCTGTGTGCTGTGATGCCACAGCACTCTAGCCTGGGTCACAAAGTGACTATATCTCAAAAAGAAAAAAAAACATTAGTTTCATTACACCATTGCTTCTCAATCCACACTTTTATTCTGGCTTCCTCCTTGAAATTTGAACCTATTACCCATGTCATTTGTTTTATTAACTCCAACTTACCTGGGTGTTTGTCTTCTGTTACATTCCAGGTCTTTCTTTTGTTTTTAAAATATGACCAGGTCCAGCTTAGAGACAGCAAGTTCTACTTTATTAGAAAAATGTCACATGTGGCTTGGTGCGGTGGCTCATACCCGTAATCCTAGCACTCTAGGGGGCTGAGGCTGGTGGGCTGCTTGAGCTCATGCCTGAGCTAGAGTGAGATCCCATCTCTACTAAAAATAGAAAATTTGAGGCAAGAGGATGGCTTGAGATCAAGAGTTGGAGGTTGCCATGAGCTATGACGCCTGGGCACTCTACCCAGGGTGACAACTTGAGACTCTGCCTCAAAAATAAATAAATAAATAAAAAGGCACATAAATTGTGCTTGGAATTCTTAAATTTCAACTTAGTATTGTCAGTAAAGAAGAGGGAATAGTACAAAAGATTCTAGAAAATTATTTCTAAAATACTATTTCCTGACAGCCCATGTAGAATACTTGAGAACCATTTTAAATTTGTGGATACCGTGCTTCACTGTAAGTATGACTGAATAAAAATAAAAAGAAGGGACTGGAATTAAAGACTGGAATTAAAAGTATAGACACCAATATTTTATATCACTGAATTTCTACAATCAACATTACAATACAGTGAAATGTGCTAATCACCTCAAGATAGAAGGTCAATGAGGTCAAATGTAAAGACTTTTTATATATTAACAACCCTTCTCATTTTGTTCCTGAAAGCAGGACTCTGAAATTCATTCATATAGAAACACAAGCCCCCAAGACACTTTCTGTAAAGTAAAAGATGAAAGCATGGGAGAAGATTAGATCTTCAGTAGTTAAGTTATTCTCACCCACAGAGACCAGGTTTCTGTAGTTCTCTAACATCACATCCTGATACAAATTTTGCTGAGCTGTGTCCAGGTATTCCCACTCCTCTGGAGAGAATGTTATGGCTACATCCCTGAATGTCAATAGTGTCTGAAATTAAAAAAGCAAAACAACAAATAAATACATTGACCATGTGAACATGAGTAGAGCTTTTAGAGCCAGGTATTCTCATTCCCCCAGAGAACATTCTATGGCCACACACACAATTAAATGTCAACAGTCCCTGGGGAATGGTGCTCACTAGTTGGAACAGCCAGGAAACTGTGTCATTTCCCTCCCAGGTGAGTCAATCTGCACAACTTGAGCCAAGTGCTCCAAGAGGGTGAACTAGAGGAATCTTCCCCCTCTGCCTATCCTTGAAGTCAGGGAGGGCATGACCAGCCACCACCATCTGGACTATCCTGCTCAGAAACAGCATTGTAAAGGCACAGTGGGACAGCACTGGACAGCAGGAACAGAAAAGATCAGAAGGGAGGGAACCCAGCACAAGGAGTGAGGGAAAGGGAGCATGGCAACCCAGGGGCAAAATCTGAATGTGAAATTTTTGGGCAATCAGGGCCACTGGAAAACTCTTGCCACCCCCTACAGACACATGCAGGGGTGATCTGGGCATAGAACTGATGGCTGGGTGGGTCTATCCCACCAAGAATACAGTGTGGAGTGGCATTAATAGGAGCTGGGGAACCACAGGGCTGTCAGGTACACTAACACCAGACTATTTAGGAAGGACCAGCAGGGAGTGGTCTGTCCCATGGCCACTTTGGGACTGAGCCAGTAACTTGTGGCCGAGTGGTTCCCTTTCAGGGCATAGGCAGGTATGGGCATGAGACTAGGTAAGTAAGGAACTCAGTGGTCTAATTAGCACTGAGGAGAGCTTGCCTGCCACTGCAATTCAGGAAGAAGACCGGGGTGGCACAAAGAACGATGAGGTCCTGAGTCTGCTGATGTCCACAGAGGCACTGCTCTACACAGCTTCCCAGGGACTCTGAGGCTGTACAAGTTGACCAGTCATGGCTAGCTTTGGGACCACCTTCCAAGCTCAGTCAGCCATCTTTGGGCTGATCCTGCAGCTCTGCCAAGCAGATCAAAGTCCCACCTTAATCACAATCTCTGGATTACCTTTGGATTACTGAGGTACGATCCCCATTACAGCAAAACATCTAACTCCCTAATCAGTCCCATACTAGTTTGTGACATCCCTGACAATCAGCTGTAACCTTCAGGCCTATAGCACCCCACCCCCACCTCAATCTTCAAGAACACAAACATGAAGTGAGATGAGTGCCAGCAACCTCATCACCCCCATAAGATGGATACCACCCACCACCGACTTGCACCAGGGGGTTGTGTAGGATAAAAGATGAAAGGACAAAAGATAAGAATACCATAACTCTGAATAATGACAGGCACCATTACTCTTAGATCGGTCCGAATCAGGCAGCAACAGAACAAGATAAGAACTAATGGGCCAAGTACTGTCATGATGAAAGTTAACGGGCTAAGTGCTGTGACAAATTGTTTTACTTATTCGCTAACTGCCAGATCTGCTTTATGTGACCTTTATGTCACCTATCTGCTAATCCGATAAACTGCAAGGTTCGCGTCTATATATAGAGTCATCGTGCCCCCATGCTTGCTCTTTGCTTCTTTTGCCAACTTTCTTTTTGCTTCTAATTACCAACTTTCAGACTATTAAAAAAAAAAAAAACTTCAGACCCCTCAACACTCTCTCACTTAGTCTGCTTTAGACTTTGCAGAGACAGCCCTGCGGTTAATAAAGACTCCTTTTTGAACTTCTAATTTGAGTTAATGGTCCTATCTTGCCCCATAACAGAAGCCTAGCCCTGATCTCCTTGACCACCTGTTGATAAACACTAGAAACTCCAAATTCAGACATGAATCTTCACATTCAGAAGCAGCTATCTCTGCTGATACTGGGACACCACCTAGTGTTCTGTCTCAAACAAAAAATGTTAACTTTCCTGGATACCTATGAGGATAATAGGTCATTTTAACCCCAAAGCCCAGAGCTAAAGAAGAACAAAAGGAAGGAGAAAAGGATAGAGGAAAATAGGGGAAAAGATAAATAAGAAAGCACAGGTAAGGAGAAACAAGCAAAAAAAATCTCTGGCTGCGTGAGGAACCAGAACAGATCAACTCCCCAGAGGAATCACAACAGAGCTCTACAGATGATTCCAACTGTGAAGAAATTATGGAAATGACAGAAATGGACTTCACATTATGGATGACAAATACAACAAAGAAAACTGAAGGGAAAATGAAAAATAAGCAAAAAGAACTTCAAAAATTGTCCAAAGATCTTAATAAAATGAAAGACAAACTCTCTTACAATCTAGACAAAATTAGAAAGAATGTGAGCTTAAAGAATTGAAGGAGGGGCTCAGAGCCTATAGCTCAAGCAGCTAAGGCGCCAGCCACATACACCAGAGCTGGTGGGTTCGAATCCAGCCCAGGCCTGCCAAACAGCAATGACAACTGTAACCAAAAAATAGCCGGGCATTCTGGTGGGTGCCTGTAGTCACGCTACTTGGGAGGCTGAGGCAAGAGAATCGCTTAAGACCAGGAGTTGCAAGGTGTTGTGAGCTGTGATGCCACTACATCCTACCCAGGGTGACAGCTTGAGACTCTGTCTCAAAAAAAAAAAAAAA